TCCATCCTGGGGCCAGATGTCGCCCAAAAGGACCACAGCAAAGGGGGGCCAAGTGAGCGACAAAGTGTAGAGACTCCTGAGATTGGCTCGGGGTTGGCACTTACGGAACAATAAACCGAGCCTTTGAAGAGGCTAAACAAAGGAACCATTTGTCTACTCCAGCAGCCTGACAAAGGGAGGCAAGCTCTCGGAGGACCAGGAATAAAAGAAAGCCAAGCTGGAGAGGAGACTCAGGTTTACTGGGTCCAGCCCAAGACCCTCCGCCAGGATCTGAAGTCAGTAGGTAAGAGAGCAACCAAATACACTCAATGTGACACAGGGCATGTAGCCTCTAGGGTTTTAAGTTAAAATCATCTATTTTCTTTTTCCTCTTCTCTGTCGCTTTAAGTCCTGCAGCATAGGGGTGGGGCGAGGGAGACAACATTTTAAAAACATGCATTTTTAAAAATGCACCAAGATTTTCTTCACTGCCTTTTTTGTTATCATTCCTACGAATGAATGATTGGCCAGATTTCATCTGCTCGTCTGCTGAAGAGCTTCCCAGTGTTCCTCTCACTGGGACACATGGTTGGCACAGGAAATACTGGTGAGGCTTTCCCATCCTTTAATATTCTCTGGCCACCGTGGGTTTGAATCTCATGGCCCTTCTTTCAAAATGACCTTTCTGCAGGAGATACAGATTGATCATTCCCCCCTCCCCGCTCCCTCCTTGACAGGTCCCACATGACTTCGAGGGGTTTTGAAATTACAACCCAGCCTTCCTGGGGGGTTTTCTGTCTCACCCCCGAGTTGGAGCTGGTTGGATCACCGGGGTCCAGTTTCTATCTGTATTAGTCACTGCTCTTAACTGTCAAAAATCAGCTCACTTGGTAGGAAACTTTTTGACGGGTAGGGGAAGATATATTCAAAGAAGAGGAGAGGTGGGCACTGGTGTTTTGTAAGTCACACATTCTGTATCTCTTGAAAGAGGGGAGAAAGTTGGATCAAATTGCTCATTCTTTCTGCACACCTTCCTTTTTTCCCTAAGCCTAAAAGTAGCAGTGACAAAGTCATCGTGAGAATATGTGTTTGTGAGAATTAATGATTCTTATGTGTACCCTCCTGGAGGGAAGAATGTTCTCTGCAGTGACACAGTGTTCTCTCCCAGGAGGCAATCTCACTGGACTGTTTACCTGGAGTCCCAACCCCGGGCGGGGGGGGGGGGGGGGGGGGGCGGGGCGGGTGGACAACAGAGCTGCCGTTCTGGAGACCCACCTCTTCTTGAAACCCCAACAACACCCTAAAAAAGGAGAGACACAGCCTTAGAGTGTCCCTAGACCAGCAAACCAGGGGTGCCTGGTCAACAGACACCTTCAACCGACTTCCAAAAGGAAGTAGAAAGACCAAAGTTGTCCCTTAAACAAGTGCCCTTAAAAATATAAATCCCAACAGCTATCTCTGGGTGATCAGGATTACAAACTCATTCTGTTCTCTTACTCCCTTATTTTTATTTTTTGTTTTATTTATTTTATTTTTATATTTATTTTTATTTTGCAATTTTTCTTTCACAATGAGCACGCACCCCTTTGGTCATCTGCAAAGATAGCATTCTTTTTCATCTCCCCAGCCATGTTCCACCCAGCAAATGTCTACTCTAGGTCAAGTGATTCTTAAGAATTACTAAAAGACAATGAAGTCCCTTAACCTGGTGGAGATTCGATTTTCTGTTTCCTTGGCCATAAAACGGGATGGCCCCTACTCGGTTTGGAGGCACAAAACAACTCCAAGCTGTTACTTGAAAGTAACACCCGAGGTGATGTCACCAGCTTGGGGGAGAGTGATGTTGAGTCCTGAACCCACAAACAGCCTATCTGCCTGGGGTTCACACATCCTCAACAGTCCCACACCAGGCTGGCATAATTCAGTAGTCAGACAGTAAGACAGGGCATATCTGCCATCTTTCATAGCTTTCAAAAACTATCCTGTAGGTCAAGCTAAACCTACTTTTGCTGTTGTTGTTTAATTAGGTTGGGTGGTTTGGGGTTTTGTTGTTTTTGTTTTTGTGTGTCCTGGGGAGTGGAGTCAGTTAGCCTCCAGCAGAGCAAAGCCCAAAGTGCCAGATTCCTGGGAAACCACCCTAAGAGGCCTCTTGCAGGAAGGATCTCCTGTTGCCAAATTTCCTGAGGATACACTAGGTGACCAGACACTGCCATGCATCCTTCTCAATATAAAGAGACTACCTGAAATATTCACTCCCGCTAAACACGCAGTGTAAATTCCCTTCACATTTACTTACCAGTTGCTTCAGTATGAAAACTTTTGAACACTGTTTTCCAGTGGAATCTCAAATGCCCTACCCCACCACCACCACCCCGTCACTATCAGAATATCTAGCTATTGTTCACCAGCCCTGTTTTCAGGGGGGAAAGGGGGGGATCTTTTTAATAATAACAAAACACAAATACCCCTCCCCTTCCACTGTGCCTCGCCTCCTCTCCTCCCCCCACCCCCACCCCCCATAGGAATCCAACGTCCTGCTCTACAACTTGATGGTTAGGAGATGATGGGTTTCTAAGACGTGCGGACTAAAGCTTGTTTTGCTCCTTCACAGTGTTCGTGTCTTTGCTTGTTAATTATTCCGTGTTTTCTATAAATAGCATCAGTTCTCCGTAGGGTGATATTCATCGTTAATAAGGGGTGATGGAATGGTTTTCACCCCTGCCTATGCGGTCCAATAGCCGCCTCCCAGCCACTTTTCTTTCCAGCAATTTCTCTTCCTTCCTCTCCTTTGCAGCCAGCCCGAAGGAGTCGGTAAAGGAGGGAGCTGGAAACTCGTTTTAAGGACCCGCCCCATCCTTCGCCCTGCAGGAAACCCTGCGCTCCGGACGCCCCAGCCCCCACCAACCTCCCCCCTTCCTTGGCATCCGGACGCGGCGATCTCGGCTGCCAGTAGAGGGCACACTTACTTTACTTTCGCAAACACCAGAGCGGGTGCAGCCCGGGGAGGGGGCGGGAGGGAAAGACGCTTTGCAGCAAAACCTTGCCTAGGGATTGGCCGCTCTCCGCATTTGCGGCAGAGGCCTGGAGGCCGGAGTAATTTGCAGCCCTTAGAGCCGAACTGCGCTGTGCGCTTGATTTGGAGGAAGTTACTACTCATTTAACAATTGAACGCTGAGCTGCAAACTCAACGGGTAATAATTTATCTCAAACACGCTATGCAAGCCCTCCTACCCACCCCTCTCCCCGAATTTTCTTCTGTTTGGGATTGGGGGCTGGGGGGTGCGGAGAGGAAAAGTTTACTTAAAATGCGTTGGGGTGAGGGACCAAGGTTGGGAAGATTGCCTTTGTTTTTAATGCCCCAGTGTAAAGCGTAAGAGCAAATCCCGAGGGAATATGCGTTCTATATTAAATATAGATTCACGTAGGGAGCGAATAAATCCTACGTCGTGTTGAGCAACATTTTGGGTTGATGTGTACAAGAAATGTATATAGATGTACGCGGATTATACATAAGCACTTTCACTATGGTGTTCAGGAAAAAAAAATTAGTGAACGAAGGAATTAGTGCTTGAAATTTGGCCAGTGTTTAATGGGTAACAAGACCCCGCCAGGAAAAAAAAAAAGGCACGGAAGTCACATTTGGCTCCTCCAGTTTGATCAGAATCGATGCAATTCTTTTTGTGTGCATGATCTGGATTCCAATGATAAAGTGGAAAGAAGACCCGGAGAGGAAGTAAATGTCCCGGTTTGCCAGAGAAGGAAAGAGTTAACGGTCTCTTCTTCCCCAGGATCTCCGCAAACTCCCAGGGCCGGGTCCTCAAGCTCGCCTCTTCCTCCCACCCTTCCTGGAGACTCCAGCCCCGAGGCTTGCACCCCCCCTCCCCAAAATTCTCTCGTCTAGCGCCTCTGATTTCCCCTAAACCTGGGAACCCCAGACTGGTGCAAACCGGCGCCACGGGGCGCAAAGAGGATTTGTGTCTTTTCTGAAGCCTGGCTGCGGAATTGGGAACTCCGAGGGAGAGGCGTGGGGGGTGGGATGCGGGTGCAGAAAGTGGGCGGGGGAGGGTCCCCTGCCGCGCGCACCAGCCAACGCGCTCCTCCCTGACTCCAGTTCCGGAACACGCAGGAACGATCCCGGGGATTAGCGCGTCTTGGTGGGGTGGGTGGGGTGGGGTGGGGGGAGCAGCAGGCTCCCGCTGACCCCACTATAGGTCTGCGTGGGAGGGGCGGGAGCGAGGGCGTCTGCGGCTTAGGCAGCAAATTGAGGCATTCATGGGGTGGAAGGTACCCAATCGCAATAGGTCGCGGTACGCAAATAAGGCAAAACGCCGCCAACAAATGCAATGCGTGTTTATTCACAACGCGCTCTCCAAGCATACGTGGCAGTGGGTTGCTGAGTTATTTTAATATTCCCGGCATCGGCTTCCTCCTAATGCCTCTTATCATGTATCCCCATCGCCACTGACACCCCGCACACTCAGGGCGCGCGCCCATAAATACCCCCGGCTTCCCTCCCGTCTTCACTGGACTGATTTTTCCAAACGCCGCCCAGAGGTCCCCCAGCCCCGGGGAGGCGCGCGTCCGCCCGGGCCGTGCGTGGCGCGGGGCGAGTGGGTACGCGGCGTGTCCCGCGGAGCAAGGCTCAGCTGTCCCGCCTGCGATGGTTTAAGCACGCAGGGCGAGCGCCGCGCCAGAGGGGCCGCGGGGAGAGGGAGAGGGCTGGAGAGGGAGCAAAAAAGAAAATGGTAGGCGCGCGCAGTTAATTCATGCCGCTGCGCTCTGACTGTTTACATGCGAGGGCTCGGCGCGCCCCAGTGCCAAGCAGCAAGGGCCGAGTCTCCTCCCCGCACCCCCCCCCCACTCCGCCCCCGGCCCCGGCCCCGGCCCCGGCCCTCCCTCCGCACAGTCGCCCCTCCTCGGTTCCCAAAGCGGAGGGCGGGCGCGGGGGGCGGGGGGGCGGGTGGAGGGGAAGAGAAAAAAGATCCACTCTCGCGAATCCCCGCCCACCGGCCCTTTATAGGCGAGGGTCCGCGGGGCAGAGGACCCCCGAGCCGCGCGTCTCCGAGCTGCAGCCGCCGCGCCCCGGCCGCCGCCTGGCTCCCCGCCGGCCTCGGGAAGGGCAGGGCTATTCAGAGGCTTGGCGGGAAAAAAGAGAACAGAGGGGAGGGATCGTGCTCAGCAATATAAACGCTGGTTTTCTGGGCTTCTCCGACTCGCTGTAATAATCCCTGCGAGAGACAGAGGGAGCGAGCGGGCGCGTCCGCCCGGGTGGAAGAGCAGAGCGAGCGGAGAGCGAGGCGAGGGGCGCTCCGGGCGCCCCGGGGAAGGGAGACCCGGAGTCACAGGGGGGCCTCTCCGCCTCCGAGCCCCCGCCCGCGGGGCGCGCGACCCCCCGCCGCTCCCACGGAACTTTGCCCGCCGCCGCGGGCGGACACTTGGCTCCCCCTCTCCTCCCCTTTTTGGAACTTACAACCACCCGAGAGCGAGGAGAACGCGACTCTCCGGACGCGCAGAGGCTCTACCCCTTCGCCTATTTGGGAAGACACTTCTCCCCGCCGCCGCCCGCGCCCGGCTGCCCTGAAAGGCGCTCCCCGCCGCATTTTGGACGCTGGATCTCCTCCGGAGAGTGGAAAACCCGGTAAGCACCCGATCTGCCTTTTTCCTTTTTATTATTATTATTTTTTTTTTTTTTTTTTTACCCTCCTCCCCTGCCCAGGCTTCATGCCATGCCGCGACGAGTCGAGGTCGACTGCCCCAACCGGGATGTCGTGCCTGCCATTCCTGCGCTATTGACACTCTCCTCCTCTCCCGAGTAGTTGGTGGGCGGCTCGGGGTGGGGTGAGGACGAAGCAGAACGGGATGGGGTGGTAGGGTGGCTTGTCAAGAGCGGAGGGGAGGAGGACGACGGGTGCGTTTTTAAAACTCGCCTTTTTTTTTTTTTTTTTTTTTTTTTGCTTATGGATTATTGAGGCTGCCCCCGGACCAGTTGGACATTCCTGCTTTATTGCACTAATTGCTTTTGCTGTGACTGGGGGGGTGGGGGTGGGTGGGGGTGGCCGTGCTCCGCGGTGGGCAGACAGCCTGTGCATCCTGAGCTCCTGGGAGTAAGAATTACAAATCGCTTGTGTGAGCCCGAGAGCTCCGCAGCCGCGGACTTTTCCGCGTCTCCGAAAGGGCATTTAAATTTCATCTTTACCGCATTTCTGACAGCCGGAGGCAGACACTGCGGCGCGTCCCGCCCGCCGGTCCCCGCGGCGTTTCCCATTCACCCCCTGCTCCTTTTAAAGAAGTTGGCATTTGGCTTTTTTTTTGTTTCTAAAGAATCCTAAAATTAGAGATCTTGGGCTTCCGAGGCGCTGGTCGGGACTGGGTGTTGGGGAGGCGCAGGGACCCGGGAAGGGGACGCTGGGCAGGGATGTGTCCGATTCTCCTGGAATCAGGGGCTGGGGCGGGGAAGGGGAGGGGGGGACGGGAGCAAATCTCCGCACCCAGCCTCGGCTCGCCCGCCGCCCGCGGTGTCCCCGTGCCCCCCTGAGATGCGGAGTGACGGCAAGGAGCGGGGCTCAGGGCTTTTCCAGAACAGCTGCTCCCCTCGGCGGGTGTAGGGAGGACGCCCGGCTCCGGGCGCGGAATCGCAGCAGGGGCCCTGGCGCAGTTGCGTCGCCGGATTGGGTGCCGGAGGGAGGTGCCCCTGGTATTATCCAACACCCCCCTTTTATTTATGGGGGGAAGTGTTAGGGCCGGCGGCTGGGCTCGCCCCACCAGCCGGCGAGAGACACCCAGAAGAGCCGGCAGAGGCGGGGGGGGGGGGCGCCGGCGAGGGGAGGGGAGGGGCGGCGGCGCCCGCGGGGGGAAGGAGCGCGGCGAGGGCGCGAGTGGGAACGGGCGCGGCGCGGAGGGGCCCCGCACGGGAGGGGGCCGAGCGCAGCCGCTCCCGCCGCGGCGCCTCTCGCCTTCTCCTTCAGGTGGCGCAAAACTTTGCGCCTTTGGCTTTGGCGGATCGCGAGCCCCGCCGCCAGCCTCTCCGGGCCAAGCGCTTAAGGAGGCCGGAGCGGATCGCGAGGGCTCTGCAGCGGGGCGGGCTCCCGGGCTAGCGCTCCGGAGCTGCTGCACCGAGTGTGCGTCTTGGATAGTAGGGGGGGCCCCCGGGGTGGGCGCGAGGGCCCCCCTCTGGAGGGGAGCGCTCGGGCAGCGGGGCGCGCGCCGCGCGGGGCTGCAGCCACCCCCCCCCGGAGCCCCGTAACTCAAGATCGCCCCCTCCCTTTGTGTGCCCCCTCCTCCCCCCACCTCCGCAGGCTGCCGCGATGCCTCTCAACGTCAGCTTCGCCAATAGGAACTATGACCTCGACTACGACTCGGTGCAGCCGTATTTCTACTGCGACGAGGAGGAGAACTTCTACCAGCAGCAGCAGCAGAGCGAGCTGCAGCCGCCGGCGCCCAGCGAGGATATCTGGAAGAAATTCGAGCTGCTGCCCACCCCGCCGCTGTCCCCGAGCCGCCGCTCCGGGCTCTGCTCGCCCTCCTACGTTGCGGTCGCGTCCTTCTCCCCCCGGGGGGACGATGACGGCGGCGGCGGCAGCTTCTCCACGGCCGACCAGTTGGAGATGGTGACCGAGCTGCTGGGAGGAGACATGGTGAACCAGAGCTTCATCTGCGACCCGGACGACGAGACCTTCATCAAAAACATCATCATCCAGGACTGCATGTGGAGCGGCTTCTCGGCCGCCGCCAAGCTCGTCTCCGAGAAGCTGGCCTCCTACCAGGCTGCGCGCAAAGACAGCGGCAGCCCGAGCCCCGCCCGCGGGCCCGGCGGCTGCTCCACCTCCAGCCTGTACCTGCAGGACCTGAGCGCCGCCGCCTCCGAGTGCATCGACCCCTCCGTGGTCTTCCCCTACCCGCTCAATGACAGCAGCTCGCCCAAGCCCTGCGCCTCCCCCGACTCGGCCGCCTTCTCCCCGTCCTCGGACTCTCTGCTCTCCTCGGCCGAGTCCTCCCCCCGGGCCAGCCCCGAGCCCCTGGCGCTGCACGAGGAGACACCGCCCACCACCAGCAGCGACTCGGGTGAGCCGGACCCCTCGGGGCCTGTCAAAAGGGGCGGCTGGCTGGGTCTCTCTCCTGCAGCTGCTCAGCGGGCCACCTCAGTTGACCCCAGCCTTTTCTCCCTTCTCAGCTTTAGGAAGGGGAACGTTAGGTCAGAAAGGGTCTAGGGAGCTCCTCACCCCGGAACACTGGGCTTTTTTTAGGGTTCCCCTCTGCATCCCCTTCCAAGACAGCCGGCCCCCTCCTCTCCCTCCCTCCCCTTAGGAATTTCATTTGTTTGTTTTTTTTTTTTTTCTTAAATCTGCTGGCTTATCTTGCAACTCAATCCACTCCCTTTTACTTTTCTTAAAGCATTTTAATTGCCCCCGGGGTGGGCGGTGAGGGTGTGTGTGAAGGAGGGCGGTGGGGAGGAGGCTAAGAGAGGATTGATCTCTGGGAGAGTGAATCAGTTGCCTCCCTCTTCCCTTCTGAGGAGCTGCTGCGATTTCGAGGAGTAGAGATCCACAAAAAAAAAAAAAAAATGAAGCGGGGCAGTGGCCAGAGGCAGAGTAGTAGTCTCCCCTCCGGCTGCTGTGAACTAGTGAAAGTGTTGTAAGGGCGGATGGGCTGAGGAGCTGGGATCTGTTCAGCCTGTTTTGAACTCTTAAAAGTAAATCCTTGCCAAAATTGGACTTATTTCCTTCCCCCACCCCTAGAACTTTTGGCAAAACCACAAGAATTTTTTTTTTCTTTTTGCACTTCCAGTAAAAGAGGGAGTTGCTAAAGTCATACCAAGAGATTTGGAGCTATCATTTGCAACACCTGAAGGGTTCTTGGTAAAGTCCCTTAAAAGATAGGAGGTGCTTGGGAATGTGCTTTACCTTGGGTGTGTCCAAAGCCTTATTAAGTCTTAGGTAAGAATTGGCATCAATGTTTTATCCTGGTGAATGGTAATTTTCTTGTCTGTGCCATAAACCCAGCTGTCATTCTCCCTCTCTTGACTCTGCCTTCATGGCAAGAAGAAGAGCAGGGTCGATTGGCTAGCTTGTTCTTCAGGGGTAACTGCTCCCCAGGCTCTTTCGGGTGCAATCAGAGTTACACAGCATTAATTTCATCTGGTCACTGGTGGCTTGAAGGGCACTGTTGCTAACCGGGTGGCTTCTATTTTTTCCTTTCTTAAAGAGGAAGAACAAGAGGACGAAGAAGAAATTGATGTTGTTTCTGTGGAAAAAAGGCAGCCCCCTGCCAAAAGGTCCGAATCGGGGTCCCCCTCTGCTGGAGGCCACAGCAAACCTCCTCACAGCCCGCTGGTCCTTAAGAGATGCCATGTGTCCACCCATCAGCACAACTACGCGGCACCCCCCTCCACCAGGAAGGACTATCCCGCCGCCAAGAGGGCGAGGTTGGACAGTGGTAGAGTCCTGAAACAGATCAGCAACAACCGCAAATGTGCCAGCCCCAGGTCTTCGGACACGGAGGAGAATGACAAGAGGCGAACACACAACGTCTTGGAGCGCCAGAGGAGGAACGAGCTGAAACGGAGCTTCTTTGCCCTGCGTGATCAGATCCCGGAGTTGGAAAACAATGAAAAGGCCCCCAAGGTAGTGATCCTTAAAAAAGCCACCGCGTACATCCTGTCCGTCCAAGCCGAGGAGCAAAAGCTCCTTTCCGAAAAGGACTTGTTGCGGAAGCGACGAGAACAGTTGAAACACAAACTGGAACAGCTAAGGAACTCTGGTGCCTAAGTCCACCTATTGGAGGGAGGAACTGGAATCGGTCATGAATTCTCACTTGTTACTAAGGGAAAGTAAGGAAAAAGGTTCCTTCTGCCAGAACTGTAGGGGATCCTCATATCTGAACTTGTTTCAAATGCATGTTTAAGTGCAACCTCACAACCTTGGCTGAGCCTTAGGATTGAAAAGGTTTAGCCGCGATGTAAACTGCCTCAAATGGGACTTTGGGCATAAAAAGAACTTTTTTTTTATGCTTGCCATCTTTTTTTTTTCTTTCTTTTAACAGATTTGTATTTAAGAATTGTTTTTAAAAAATCGTAAAGTTTACCCCATTTTCCTGTGTAAATATGGTCATGAAATGTAAATAACTTTAATAAAACGTTTATAGCAGTTATACAAAAATTCAAACCATGTATTATAAACCATAATTTTTTTTATTTAAGTACATGTTCCTTTTTAAAGTTGATTTTTTCTATTGTTTTTAGAAAAAATAAAATACTTGGCAAATATATAATTGAGCCAAATCTGAAGTGGTGAGTGTTTTCTTTCCCTTTTTTTCTTTTTTTTTTTTTATTATTATTCCCTTTTCATCAATTCCGATTCACAGAATTTGGCCCTCGAGGAAATGAGTTTACAAAGATGGGAAAAGAAGTTATTTAGGAAAGGGCAAGGGCTTTTCTTTGTTAAAATGGGTCTGGGGCCCATGAGGTCTTTATTTTCTCAGGGTTATAAGATGCTTCCTGGAGATTTGTGATAGGGCCAGAGTCACTACTTGAAAGAATGAACAGGCAGTAGACTGGTGAGAAGGCAAAGGGATGCCAGAGGTTAAAGATAAGTTAAGTATACAAAGGGGGTGAGGGCTGGGGGTGGGAGGAAGATGAAGAAACTCCACTTTTGTTAACCCATGCAACTCCCCTTGCTGCTTGCCTACAACCACCAGGTGCCAGGCCCTTTACGTGGGTTATCTCCTCTTATGTCTCAAAGGTGCTCCAGGAGGCAAGTTCCTAACCCTGATTTGCAAACAATGAAATATGGAGGCTCAGAGGGGTTTTGTAACTTCTCTGGAGCCGCACAGTAAAAGGCTGAACCCAAGGTCCCCATTCCATTGAAAAACACTAACACTTCACTCTCACGCTTTGGTGGTTCATCCTGGGTCTAAAGTGCTTGAGGTCAAGACCGCTTTTGGCTTGGGGTCTGATGGGCTGACTCAAGTAATTTAAGCATATTAACTTATTTATGTGCCAGGCATTCTTACAAGCATTTTCCTTCTAATCATTCCACAACAGCCCTATGAAGGAAATGAGCCCAATGTTGGTTTCACCAAAAGACTCAGTCATGTGCCCAAAGTCCACTGATCATGAACAGTAGTAGAGCTAGGATTCGAACCCAGGCAGTCCACCCGTAGCCTGTGCTAGAACACCTCACCAACGAGCCAGTGGGAATAAACTGGCTGCTCCCAAGAACAAGAGTCACCGATCTAGCAGATTGTATGCCATAAATCTCAACATTTAGGCCCTGCAGGACATCAGTTCCCCATTTGTTTGTCTCATTTCATTTTGTTACTTTGTTATTCATTCTTCCATGTTTTCTTTATCTGAGAAAAACCCACAAGCCATTCACTCCTACCTTAGCCATTTGTTAAATGAGATTCACCCCTTGCTCCTGGGAAGCAGCCAGTTTGGAATGCTACTGCACCAATCATAAAATAAAACATACTTACTCTTTGGCACATGAGTCATTATTTTGGAAACTACAAATTCCCCTTCCTTCCAACCTCTTTGACACACAGACACTCATGACACATGGTCATCATTAGAACATGAAAAGGCATTTTTGAATGTAGACATTATTAATTATAAGCCTTTGCAAACCAGGGGCCTGAACGGCAAACTAGAACATTGCCTACATAGGCAAATGGAAGTTACTATCTCTGTTCTAATTATCTCATTGTTCCAGCCTCAGAGTGGTTCTTCAGATCCTGTACTCTTTTTTTAGGACTTTAATCCACCACCAGGAGCACCAAGCACCACCCACACATCAATAAGTAATTACTGTCTTTGGTTCTGAACTCTAGAATAGTTTACTCAAGTCCTCGAGGTCTTTTTCTGGATCCTTTATTTTGGATCCCAAGTCCCACCCTTATAGTTTCATATAGTCACACCCTATACCCTAAATTCAAAGGGAGATACAATCCACAGAAGTTGAATAGTTCAAAGTGTTAAAAAGCGGGGGCGATCTTAAAAGATTCACTCTTTGCCCCTTTGTGGCTGGAGTGCAGCTCTGAGTGACTCACTTGAGAACAAGGAAGGTGTTAATTTGATCACTAAGTCCAGGCAAGCCAGCAGAAAAGGAGAGAGTGTTCTTCTCTGGGAAAACAACTCCCCATTCCAAATAATCAGGAAACAAAATAGGGATCCAGAGCTTGGCTGTGGGGATGGAAGGGAGCCATTCCAACTATCCATTAGCCGTCCCCCCTCCCCACCCCCACCCCAGGTTTCTGAAGCAAGAGTAAGGTCGGAAAACAGCAGATGCCAACTTCTTTCCAGAAAGACAGGCTGATCTTGACCCCAACACAAATTGGCTCTCAGAGCCAACCCAGGGAGTCCCCAGCGTCTGTGCCATTGTTCGATCTACTTTGTAGATAACAATAATCAAGAACCAGAGATGGAGGCAGGAGCTTGCAATTTGGTCAAGAATCTACAGGAAGGAATGAGCTCCTACTGACTATGCCTCTCAGCCGGGATGATGTCCAGGAATTAATGACTACTACTCCAGGGGATTCTGGGGGTGATTTTGTTTAAGGATGGAATGTATAAAGAGGAAGGAAGTGTTATTTCAATGCTGCCATTTGGAAGCAACAAAGGAGATCCACATTATAAAAACAACCAAATTTTTAAATGAACAAAGTTTTCAAAATCCCAGCCTGATACTCACAGCTAGGATGTGTAAGTAGAGTTCTCTGCTGGTCTTTAAGACAAACTCTGGCACAGAGCTTGGGAAAGAGGACAACAAGTGTTAGGGGGTTTTCTGTGGTTTATTTTAATAGCTTACGATTGGCTCAGTCAGTAATAATTTTTCAGCATACATGCTAGGGGCCCCTGAAGCATTTCTTCCCAACAATAAATAATCCTTAGGCTAGAAAATGTTGAAGGGTATCCCACAACACAATCTATAAATGCACTGGTAGCTTCACAAAAGGCTCCTCGTTTAAGGTTATAGACCATTACAGGCCTATTTCAAAGGAGAAGGAGGGTAAAAACAAGCTAATAGGATGGGAACAGAGACACATTAAAAAAAAAAAAAAAAACTAAAAAGACTCTACGCCCACCACTAAGACCGTAGCAATAATCTTTCTCTCATCTAGATCTTCCAGGAGAGAATTTAGACTAGTTCCAAATTTAGAAGAAACCCCCAAGAATGTTTGCTTTGCCTAATTGGCTGGAGGTGACTAAATGACTCTTAAGTTGATTTTGCATTTTGTTTTTAATTGTATTTCTTTCAATATTAGTCTACCTAAGAAGACACCGTTGAGGGGAACCAATGTTAATGGGATTGTAGATCCTCCGATGTTGAAAGGAATGTTCTTTGTTCTTAAACAATGCTTGGGAGCTCAGCCACAAACCCCAACACTTTCTTCCCATTGTCACCCCATCAGCTGATCAAGAGATAAAATAAGTCAGTACAGTCAGGGGTCTCTGGGGGTAGGGAAAGGGGGAGCTTGAGGAGAGAGAATTAACCTTTATTACACACCTACTATCTGCCAAACCCTCTATCTCACAGACCCTCACAGCAACCCACCTGGAGAGCGATTGTTGAATGTGACAATACTGAAGTTTAGACAAGTTCAATAGCTCTCCCAGAGTCACACAAGTACCAACAATAAATACAACAATAGTAAGTTAATGTTTACTACGTGTCAAACACTTCACATTCATTATCTTATGTCATCCCCAAAGCAACTCTTAGGAGATTAAATCTATTTCTAATCCCCATTTTATGCGTAAGAGATTGAAATTTTGAGAGATTAACTAATTTGTCTTCACTCACAGAACTGGCAAAATGGTGACAGCACAAATTGTTCATTCGTTCAAAAATATTTATTAAGCACCTACTGTGTGCCCACACTGTGCTGCCTGGTGAGAAGAGATGCATAGATAAAGTCCTGGCCCTGAGTCACCTATGGACTAGTGGAGAACAAAGAAAACTGGTAATCTAGTAGACCAAATTATTTTACAAACACTTTTAGAATGGGATGGAGTTGAAGCTCTCTGCCCAGGACCCCGCCCTGTGCCCCCAGGGAAAATGGAATCAAGGATGGAGCTCAAGAAATGCTGGAGGAGGGACGCTTGGGTGGCTTAGTGGTTGAGTATCTATGCCTTTGGCTCAGGGTGTGATCCCACAGTCCCAGGGTTGAGTCCCACATCGGGCTCCCTGCATGGAGCCTGCTTCTCCCTCTGCCTATTGTCTCTGCCTCTCTCTCTCCCTCTCTCTCTCTCCCTCTCTCTCTCTCTCTCTGTGTGTGACTCTCGTGAATAAATAAATAAAATCAAGAAATGCTGGAAGAGGAACAAAGGAGAAGAGTCATTGGAGGGGTGGAGGGAAGGTAGAGGACATGGTGTCACTGAAGCCAGGAGGAAGCCCTTCTACAAAAGCAGAAAGAGGGGGATCCCTGGGTGGCTCAGCGGTTTAGGGTCTGCCTTTGGCCCAGGGTGTGATCCTGGAGTCCAGGGATCTAATCCCGCTTGGAGCCTGCTTCTCCCTCTGCCTGTGTCTCTGTCTCTGTCTCTGTCTCTCTCTCTCTCTCTCATGAGTAAATAAATAGAATCTTAAAAAAAAAGGCAAAAAGAGGTACAGCAGGATGTGCAGAGAATGGTCCATTAGACCTAGGATCTAGGATCCTCCCTAGGATCCTCCCTCTTCTTCATGCCCTTTGTTTAATCCATCACTTCAAACATCTGCCCACTCATTTCCCCTACATCCTGCCCTCCTGCAATGCCCTCTCCAGGAGTTCCCACAGTGTGATGCCTACACCATCAGGCATCATCACCACCCATGGATTTGTTAGAAATGGAAACACATAGTCTCCTGAATTAGCATCCCAGGAGATTGGCCCCAGGAAACTGTGTTCCAACAAGCCCTCTGGGGCTTGAGAAAGTTGGGACAACCACTGTCTTCTCCATCACTGCCACCCCAGTGATCTTTTCAAATCACAAATAGGAATATGCCCCTCCCATGCTTAAAACCCTTCAGAGGGTTTCTGCTACCGTTCAGAGGAAGTCTGAAGCTATTCTACACCAACAAGGTCCTCCACACACTGCCTCCTGTCCACTTACAGATCTCATCGTCGTCACTCTAGTGTCCCTGTGTCCTGTGAGATTTTTCAGACACTTTGCCCCCTCTGCTCAAAACACCGTTGACCCACCACCCATCCAATCCACCAAAATGGGTCTGACGAGTTTTTACTCACCTTCTAGTATCCTCTAACCACTGAGACAAGG